TGGTACTCTGACACACAGTAGTACCCTGTCAGACACCCAGACTCCCACAACAGCTTCTTCTTCCCCAGCTGCTGCTTCGTCCCTCCCAGTGTCTCACAGTCTGTCTCAGCATCTCCTCTTCACCACACAGGCATCACATATTTATACAGTACAGCCCCTCCTCCTGATGTCCCGCCTTCCACTCCCCATAGGATGGAACTTTCCCTCCAAACCCATGACAGACAGGTAACATCAGTGCTGTTATGTAACAGTAACCACTAGTTTAAATTAGTGCCATGTGTCATAAATAGGTTTGCCACTGAAAACACTTGGAAATTTAGATGCTCCAAAGTAAGGCAAGCACATTAAAAGTTACTCATTGAGATCACCATATTATATAACACTGCTCTGCCATCTGCATTGGCTTCCAGTCAATCTCTGCTCCAAAGAGAAAATGCTGACATTAATATTCAAATCCTCATGAACATGGTACTTGGTTATCAGAAGGATCACTTGCTTTCATGTACAAGACATACAGGCTCTCAGATCAGAGGCTCTTCAAGTCCCACAAACACATCAGGTCTGTGCACCCTGGTTATGGAATGTTCTTCCACACAGAATTTCATGGTATGCCTACATTATGATCTCTCTTGTATGTGGTGAAGGTTATTTTGCTTTCTTTGGGTTGTCAAACTTAATTTTAGTACATTTTAGCATCAATACAACAAACTTAAATACCTGTTGCTGGTTTCAAAACTAACAATTTAGGTTTTTTTAAACCAAGAAGTCTCCCAAAGAAGTTTTGGTTTGGGACAATATATAAATGTTTTAAACACATCCACAAATGTGTGTGGGGAAAAACTATAAACTGACAACATGTGCAGAGAATATATTGGCTGAAATCCTGTTGCTTAGCATGATAAGCTGCAACCAGAATTCACTGAATTAATTGAACATGGAGGAGTTGATGCAACAAATCACCACGGATCCAATGAGCCTACTCTAGTTGTGACTTACTACACTGAGCAATAGGATTTTAGTCATTAAATTCCTTTATATGCTGCAACATAGTAATGTTCAACATGGATGCATGTTAATCCAATGATGAATTGTCAAGGCTGTATTTATTCCCAGAGAGAAGGCTATTTTAGTATGTAGGATAGAGTGTAAGGTTACAACCTAAAAGTGAGGATTGTAACCATGGTGGAGACATGAGAATACAAGTTTCTACCCCAAATGCCCCACAAATGGTCTTCCATCAGGCCTTAACATATTCAGCATAAAACTCTGAAGAACTATATTCAGCTGAATTCACTTGCAGAGCTTCCATGAACAGGAGCCTTGATTATGGCAGCACTCCTGGCCATAGAAGCAGCACATTTGTTGTTGTTTAGACGTTAGGTCGTGTCCGACTCTTCATGGCCCCATGGAACAGAGCATACCAGGCCCTCCTGTCTTCCACTGCCTCCTGGAGTTGGGTCAAATTCATGTTGGTAGCTTTGATGACAATGTCCAACCATCTCATCCTCTGTCCTCCCCTTCTCCTCTTGCCTTCACACTTTCCCAACATCAGGGTCTTTTCCAGGGAGTCTTCTCTTCTCATAAGGCACATGAGAAGCAGCACATACATTCAACCAAATATGCATACAGACATCTCTTCAGAACTTATTTTTAAATAAAAAATCTAATGGATAATTGGGGGTACTAAGAAAGGCACCTAACATATTTGCCCCTGTGCCCACTATTGCAGCTACAATTCTTGAATAGGGCTAATGTTAAGCAGCATGGGAACGTCTGCAAATGTAAGAACAACTACACCCTCACATGTTTCTGGAGTATAAGACAAATAGCTGGGAGGTACACATTTTAGCTACTGTGTAAATATTAACTACGGGTTCTCATGAACAGAAATTTTCCCTGATTGGGGAAAAAATGCCTCCAGCAACAGTGGCCACAAAAAACTCACCCCAATGTAAAGTAGAACCTATCTACCTCAGCTAGTACAGTATCTGACTGCACTGTTTGTATGATCCTTAAGAATATATCCACTATTCCATCCACGTAAAATGTCTAGGTTTTAAAATTCTAAGATTTATGGCTTCAGGTGATTTCACTTGGCACATTCTACCAGTATCATCATGTATGAAATAATGTCCAGTATTCTATCACTTGGTGTAAATCAGCAGGTTAGAGCCCCTGGATACAGTCATTCATTCAAATCTTTATTGTGTCACCAAGTAGAGAGGCCATCACCTGGAACATGCATGGCTGGTAACATTATATATGTACAACCTTGGTCAAGATGTAGAGTGCCAGAACGCCACCAGAAGTAGGGACTGGTAAATCATTTCTGTGTACTTTATACATGGAAAATACTAGGAGGGTCACCAAAAGTCAGAACAACTTGATAGTACATAATATTGATCCAATGCAAAATGCGCAGCAGAAGGTCAATCAAACAATCCCCCCACAACTCCTACAAGCTCTTTTCATGTCCCTCCGCTTGCACTGGTTGTGAGATCAACCGTGCAACTGATCATGCATCTACTGGGAAAGGAGGAGGACACTTGCACAACTGTCTGTTTAGGCAAGAGACCATGTTTTCCTATTACTATTCAGTATTAAATAATAAAAACAACTGTTCAGAGAAAGACAGTAGGATTAAATCAGAATGTAATGGCTGATTACCATTCCTCATAGTTTATTTTTTTGAAGAGAATACTGATTTGATTATGTTCAATGCAAAAGGAAGACAGTACACAAAAAGAAAAAAGGCATCAATTATTTTGTTAAGCAACAGAATCAGGATAAAGCTGGTGTTATACTTCGTTGTAGCAGGTAATCACAAGTCAAGTAATTTTATGCAAATTTAGGAGTTAGTATTGAAGCAGTAAGAATGGATCTGCTTAGACCTCCGAATACCTTTCGGAATTATTAAATCACTCCCTTGTCCAGCCAATCTGCTAGCTGCTGCACTGCTAGGTGATATAACAGGTGACATAGGTAATGATGAAGAACCTGAAAATGGGACATATACCAAGAACATCCATTTTTAAAGGATCAACAATTTCTTGCACACAAAACACCAGGGAAAGTAAAATAGTATCTTGTCCATCAGAATTTAAAGTGAAACAGGCTCCTTGTTATTGTCTCTACATGATGGTGGCACCTTGTAGCAAGCCAATGTATAATCAAAAGTACTGTATTATTTCCCACTACTAACATAATGAATCAGCTCTTAAAATGTAGCCTGAATTAAAAAAAAATCAGTGTAAGAATTAGCAGTTCATAATACTTCACTGAAGTGATTCTTCAGCTATGCCTAAGTATGAATAAACACTATACAGACCATCTCTTTACATGTTTAATCACTCACAAGTAACGGTTATTACCTTGGAACGGTCCAGCTTCAATGATGCCTTCTTTGGTACTGTCAAAGCCATGTGATGTAATTTGTGTCTCAGACAAACCAAGTCCAGCTGGTAGGGAACGCTTCAAGTCCTTGGAAATATTTGAATAAAACGGAATATCCATGTAAAGGTCCCAGATAAGAGAACATTTAGGCATAACAATATCTGGTTCAAACTTATCTTAAACAAAGGATTCTATAGCCTAGAATCTAGTTTATGTTGTCATGACATTCTATTTTGATGACTTAAGACAATATGTTTTTGCAGCCGACATTACAGATTTCATTTATAATCATGGACCAGACACTATCTACTGCCTGTCCAAAAAATGCAGTATGGAAACATAGAGAACAATATTACCAGATTTCCACAATATGCCTTGTTTGGATCAAAAGTGATCATAAGCCTATAGTAGTTGCTGGCAACAAGTACCTCCACACACATACATTTTGGCTTTCATACCTTTAAATACATTGAGTCTTTAATATAAGTCCATCCCCATCAGTATCAAACTGGAGAAATAATTATTGTCCAATAAATCTGCTATTTTTCATTTAGTTGCATATGAGAAGGCTTAATATGGACTGTCTCCAACAAGATCAATGCAAGCTGCTTTCCAGAGCATTACTAGAGTGGACGAGTTGCCCAGATAGGTGGGGTATAAATCAAATAAATAAATAAATAAACAAAAAAACAAATACGTTAAGGGCAATATTTTTTTTTATAAATAAATAAAAAACAAACAAACAAATACGTTAAGGGTAATGTTTTTTTTTCCTTTTCTGACTAACATAAAATACATTTGAGAACCCTGCAAATGCAACTCTGTCCTTCCATAGGTTCTTCTTAAAAACTAAGCTGGAATTCAAATAAGCTTAAGATCTACTATCTTTTCAAAAGCAACAGTTCAAATTGTCGTTGTCCATAATAATAAGTATTTTACAGACAGAACAAAATAATTTATTTCAGCATATTATACAGCATACACCTTAAGCGTCTACATGTTAAAGCAGAGGTGGAGAAGATGTGGTTCTCCACATGTTGATGGACTGCAATGCCCATCACTCTTTACCACTGGCCATGCAATCTGAGATGATGGACAACATATTCCCCATCTCTTGCTATATGTCAGATGTTTGAGAAATAATGTCACTTAATAGAACTTGATTTGACCAAGCTTGCCAAGAATTAAAAGGCGTCATGATAAGAAAGTCTTCCATTACCGAGCATGACCAGTAATAACTAGCTCCCCAAGACCAAATGCACAAAAGGCCTGACTTTCTTAAGGGCTGAATTAACTTGTTACAGCTTGGGGCAAATCTGAATTGGGTTCTGGTGCCTTTTCTGAGGCTTTTCTGACAATTCCCTGCTTTCCCAAACTTAGCCAGGTAATGGAAGGAATCAAAAGCAGATGCCTCAAGAGATGTCAGAAACTACTGGAAGCAACATTTCCCAATAGTTCCCCCATGTACTCATGGAAATGTCCAGGACATTAGCTTGAAGCCGCTACTCATACTAGGTTTTCTTGCCATTGAGCTCATAAAAGATTAGGAACTGAAACAGGGGATGATACTACTCATTACTTTTAAAGTAAACAGGAAATCAGAGGTCTGGTACTAATTTAAAAAATCTTTCCGATCTCAATGATCCAAAGCCAAGGTCTGGCATACTTTGCCTACTTAACCAAAGTAAAAGTACTTTATAGCAGTGGACATTTACACAGTTTGCAGCTACCATTTCCTGACACAAGTTCTTGGAAGCCTCAGGTGTGCATACTTGTTCTCCTTTCCACCCAATTCACTACAGGTGTACCGTGAATGCCCGAAATGGTGGATAGTGGGCCCACCCCGTTGTATGATTCCTGTGTCTAGCATGCTTGCCTCACATTGGACACAAAAAGTTTTAAAAGTTTAAAGTTTAAAATTTTCCATTTAATATTTTTGGGCAGCAGTAAACTGCAGATAACTGACCAAAGTAAATGGTCCTTTTAAATGTTCCATTTAATATTTTAAGGCTGTGGTAAACTGCAGATAACTCAACAAAAATAAAATCTGTGGATATGGTGAGACTTCTGTATTTCAATTCAAGTTTGCAGTAACTCATATTTTGACATTTCAGTTAAAACAAAGCTATAATTTATACTTTCCTCAAAAGTAGATTCAAGCCTTGCATTGGAGACAAAGGCCAAGCACAAGATCAGGAAAACTAGAAGTAGGTTAACTTACCTGTGAGAGGAAGAAGGAAGTACATGATCCTTAAGCTCCTCAACATTAGTGCACATAAGAACCACATTTAAGTGGGTGATATGGCTCAATCCAGATATCATGTCAGGCCATTGTTAATAAATTCAAACTATGGATTAATGTATTGATAAACCATGTATTGCAACTGGTGTAAAAACCAAAATAAGAAGATACGTTTTGAAGTGAGTTGGGTGAATAATTGTTGGGAAAGTGATCTGAGTTAAGCTATCATGCTACATGAATTCTGGCTATAATTACTCCTGTTAAGACCTGAGACCTAAGTAGACAGAATATTTAAAGCAAGGGTGTCCAACCTTTCACCTTCCCTGGGCCACATTAGAAGATGAAAATTTGGTTTGGGCAGCACATACATTTGGTTTGGGCTGCATGGGGAGCAGCCCTAGCAGTCTTCTGCAGCCCTGCTCCAAGCGCGCTTACCAGCAGCTGCAATCTCAGACAGCAGAGGCTGCCAGCTTTGACTCCGGCAGCTTTATGGGGCCGGGAGGGGATCCAGCTATTGACGGGGACAGCGCAATACAGTCACGCAGCCCCCCCTGTCCCCTTCCCCCCCCACTCCCACTCCTTCCTTCCTTCCCTCTCTCCCCCTCTACTGTTGTGACATGCCCCGGCCACATTCCGGCCACAAGCGCCGGCAGTGTAACTTGAAACTTTGGAATTTCTTTTAAAATAAAAAATTGCACTGGGCCGCATTACGAGCTACCTGGGCCGCATGTGGCCCTCGGGCCGCAGGTTGGACAAGCCTGATTTAAAGCATAGGTATCTCTACAGCAGAACTGAGCTGCATCTGTAGCTTTGGAAACTCTAGCAATAGTGTAGCATTTTGCATTTGTGAAGCATGTGCATCTCCCAGTTTCCCTGAAATTATGGCTACTAATGGATGAACAGAATATTATTACACCATAGTAAAATGAGAATATAAATTTAGATGCAACAGATGCATACATCATAAAAACTTCACAGAGACTACAATAAACCATAAGCCATATAGGTTTACTAGGCCAAGCTTCTCCCTTGGATTTCAGTTCTGTCGTAAAAGAAAAGACCACATAAGCCTACATAAATAATGACATTGTAAAGATACAGTCTGCTAGACAAATAGAAAAGATGCATATCTTACCAGTATATACAGTGAAGTTACACTTATACGCTGATAAAATAAGGATTTAATTTTCCCTTTTACAACTTACATTATAATTGGATAAGGAAGCATTGTTAGCTTTCCAGACTAGACATGGGGGTATTTGTATTCATATATGAATATGAATACCCCTGCACAGGTGGAGATAACGAGGGTCCAGCCCCCCCCCCCCCCGGGGCTGGCCTGTCTACTCACAGTTCTGCTGCTGCCACGGGCGCCACACTCCCTTCCTATCACTCTGGAGTGCCCAGTCTGCAAGCCACTCTTCAACCTGGCAGGGAGGCTTGTTGTCCCACCTCCTGCCAGGAGTGGCTAGCCAACCGCAAGCTCCGGAGCAATAGGAAAGGAGCATGGAACCCGCAGCAGCAGCAGAACGGTGAGTGGAAAGTCTGGCCCCATGGGGTTGGCCCCTCGTTATCTCCAGCCATGTCTACTCCAGACTATTAGGGCGGTGCTGATCAACTCAGGATCTGGTTTTGAGTTTTTGCTCTTGCATTAGGTATGAGAGGCTATTGCTTATTTCTGACGTTATACTTAATCTCTCCCCTCAGAGTACAACTTAATGATGTCTGACTTCTTGGGCTTCTGTCCTGCTTAATTCCACCAAGGAAATCTTTCTATACTTTCCTGAATTGTCTGTCACTAGCCCTATTCTGCTTATGATTTAGGACTCTACTTCTTTCTCTGAGACCTCTGCACACCTTTCTGATTCATCATTCATGTTGATTTGCTTTCCATACCCAAGTTCTAGTAGTTCTGGAATATGTTCTTGTTTTGTACTAAATTCCAAAGTCTTGTAGCAAAGAACAGTCACCAAGGATTAAAGATTTAATCACTAATCACGAGATTCAGTCTTTATTGAGAAAGGCTGTCAGCTTTAGTTTCAAAACCACAATGTTAATGACCATAATAAACATAAAAAGATGTCAAAAGTTACATATGTCTTAATTCTGCACTTGACTCTTTCAAAGATTTAAGAAGCAAATAGAGTCTCATTAAGTTTTTCTTATAGCTTGGCTCAAATGGATACCTTGCTCCAGTAGAAAACTGTCCTACATTTACTCCTTGACATTTTTAAATTACCATATTTGCCGGCATACACGGCGACTGGGCGTATAAGGCGACCGCTCAACATTTCCACTCAAAATATAGAGATCCTTATATACTCGCTGTACAGGCCTACTCCCTCTTCCACACACCTTCCACACACCAAATGTCTGGGGTTGTGAGGTGTCTGTTTCAAAGCATCTGAAACACTTTGAAGTGCTGCCTTCGTTTGTTGCCTGGAGGACTCTGCTGCGAGGGTGACTCTCTTTCCCTCTGGAGGACCAGCGAGATAAAACACAGAAGTGCTGTCTCCGTTTGTTGCCTGGAGGACTCTGCTGCCAGGGTGACTCCCTTTCCCTCAGGAGGACCAGCGAGACAAACTAGAGAGACCAGCCGAGACGAGGGGGGGAGAGATACTTTTGAAAACTGGCTCCATGGATTGTGCCTGCAGGGAGACCAACTTGAGCAGCTTGAACAGCGGGAGAACTGTCGGGTCCGAGAACCGGGAGCGGCATTTTTGGGAGTTGGGAATATTGGTGCAGCTGTGCCTGGGCTTTGACTCGGGGGAGCTCCCTCCTAGACTGGAGCTGCCGAACAGAGGAATGTAGTGCCCTGGCGTTCGGAGTCAGCCGCTGGAGGGGC